TATCCCCTCCATGCAACCCCTCTCCACACCAGAGCACCAACCCTCGGATTCTGGTAAAGACCGCGTCCGCTGACACATTGGCGGCCGACTACTCCGTTCTGACTAACGAGATAAAGACACAGCGGCGCCGGTCCAGTCGACTCATCCAGCATCATGATCAAACGATCTAACATAGAGAATCCAAGGATCATCCCATCTCCACCATGCCACTCCCCCTCCAGTCAACTCAAACACAAACCCCCTCCTGCCTAGCTCATCCCGCGGGTGAGCGGCCAAACCAAACCAACTCCAGCTCTTGAACTCACCCTCCTAAAGACCAAACGACTACCATACAACTCCCATGACCATCCGTGTAGGGAAGAAGAACAGTGACAATGGGAGTCATCCAGCCAGAAGGATGAACGAAGACATATGCTACCAAGGAACGCACGACGGGGCTGATCCGCAGTCTACCCCTCGGGGGATGACCCCCGAGGCACCAGACCCGGTAAGAGGAACCAATAGCATTTCCTTCCCCCGTAGAACAGTTATTGGCTAAAAGACGGGCCGACTCGAAGCAGTGATGAGGCGTATCCCAGGAATGCCATCCCAACCAAGAAAAGCAGACCGAATTGTTCCGCGAATCACTTTTGCGGACAGAGTCGCCCTGGCTGACATGCCCCAAAATTCAGTATCCCCAACATGAAACCATACGACGGTACCACCGACCCGGACGCCCACATACCTCGTACAAACCGCGATGTTTACTGTTTCAATACCCCGACCCTTGAAGCCTGTATGTGCAAAAGTTTCGGTTCTAGTTTGTCTGGTCCGCGCTCCAATGGTACACGAATCTCCCGAACGGATCCATCGATTCGTTCGCTCAGCTTACTGACACTTTTTGTGGAACAATTCGCCGCAGCAAGAAGCTAGAGAACTGTCGGCCGACTTGTACCGAATTACAAGGGAGGGAACCATTGAGAGAGTACGTTAGCAGGTTCACAAGGAGAAAATCTCTATTCATTCCTGTAACCCCGAGACTGTGCTGGGGCTTTCAGGAAAGGCCTCCTTCCAGACGGGGAACTATACAAGGAGCTCACAAAGCTAGGCTGTACTACCATGGAAGACGCTCTGGCCCGAGCCGTGATCCAAATAAGGTGGAGGAAGATGAGATGAACCGCCGCCTCCATACGACAACCTAGAACGACAGAAAACGGAACCTAGACCGGCAGAGCACCGCTACCACCCCCCTCAAGAAATAGCAGAGCCAGAGACCATATGACCGCCAACCCTCGAGAAGCAATACGACACGGGATCGAATCAATTCAAATACCAGATCAGTCTCAGCATCGAAACACCCAGGTCGTAGCGATAATGAAAGGTATGGGATCCGCTGTCAAGTGGCCTGGTAAGCTCAATCCCAGGCAAGGAGAACACAACCAAGTGTGCGAGTTCCACAACGACCATGGGCATAACACCACGATTGCTCTCGCCTTGCGGCTCGAGGTTGCCGCCTCCTAAAAGGACACCTCCGTGACCTACTCACCGACAAAGGGAAAACACCATTAGCCAAAAGCTCCAAACAGTCGACCCCTCCGCGAGAACCAACACCTAAGGGTTTCTGCTCGCATCTCTCCGGAGGCAGAACTAGTGGTAAGTTACTCGTCAGCCAGCGGTATGCTAGAACCCACCACCATGAAATCCAGTCTGTTCATCCCGATTCATACTCCCATCAAGTGATTCAGTTTGAGGTTGACGAGCCGATCACCTTGGTTGCCCCTCACCACGATGCTTTGTCCTCTCCCTGCAAAAGCCAACATCCTAGTGAAAGGGTGTTCGTGGATGGGGGTTCGTCAGCGAATATCCTGTTCCTCGAAGCAGTAAAAGCGATGGGACTGGAAGAAGCGAATATCAACAGACGACCGACACTGCGGGTTGGATTCAGCTCAGAACAAAGTACACAATCGGGAAATCACCCTTCCTATCTATGCCGGCGTGAACAACAAACAGTCTCCTGTTGATCGACTGCCCATCCCCCTACAACGTCATTTTGGGCCGTCCCTGGATCCATGACATGCGGGCAGTGCCATCGACCTTCCCCCAGACAATCAGGTCCCAACCAAGTGGGGAGTGCAGGAGATCAAGGGCGACCCTAAAGCTTCTAGGGATTGCTACAAGAACGCCTTCAAAGGCAAGGGACATTCCCATAGCAATTACAGTCTCATCCGACCCTCCGAACCGAGCCCGATCAACCGACAAGGAGGAGCTGGATGAGGTGCAGATACACCGGATGACCCAGAAGAAAAACAACATAGGCTCCCGCCTCGACCCCGAGACAAGAGAGAAGCTGATAAACTTCCTAAAAAGAATGAAGACTGTTTCGCCTGGTCCCACGCTGACATGACCGGATCAACCCGGACGCGATGGTCCACCAGCTCAAGTGATCCAGATCACCCGCCAGTCAAGCAGAAAGGAGAAAATTCGCACTGAACGGAACCAGATCATCAATGAAGAGTCGAGAACCTCCTAAACAACGGCATGATCAGAGAAGTCCACTACCCCAATGGCTGGCAAACGTCGTAGTCGTAAAAAAGAAAAACGGGAAGTGGAGAGTCTGCATCGACTTCACAGACTTGACAGAGCCTGCCCCAAAGATTCTTTTCCCGCTCCCACATATTGACATGATGGTAGATGCGACCGCAGGGCACGACTCCTCGTTTCATGGATGCTTCTCGGGTACAATCAGATCTAATGCATGCGGACGACCGAAAAGACGCTTTCATCACAGAGAGGGGAACCTATTGTTACAAAGTAATGCCGTTTGGACTGAAAAACGCCGGAGCCACCTACCAACGTCTGGTCAATAAAATGTTCTCTGACCACTTAGGGAAAACCATGGAAGTTTACATCGACGACATGCTCGTCAAATCCCTGATGGCTGAACAACACCTTGACCACCTTAGCCAGGCATTCGCCATTCTCCGAAAGTACAACATGAAATTGAACCCAGAAAAGTGCTCATTCAGCGTCTCGTCAGGTAAATTCTTAGGTTACATGGTTACTCAGCGAGAATAGAAGCAAACCCCGACCAGATCAGACGTTTCTCAGCTATACATCCCCAACTTGCGTCAGAGACGTCCGCGTCTTGCAGGACGAGGCCGCCCTGACCCGCTTCATTTCCAGGTCCGCTGACAAGTGCCACCTCTTCTTCCACGCCCTCAAAAAAATCCAACAGGTTCGACTGGACCCCCTCATGCGAAGAAGCCCACAACAGCTGAAGAGGTATCTGACTAACCCCCCACTGCTGTCCAAACCCATGAACGAGAGAAGCTCTACGCTACCTAGCGGTCCTCAGAGACGCCATATCAGCAGTACTAGTCCGAGAAAGGAACGAAGCAGTCACCGGTCTACTACATTAGCAAGTCTCCCTCGACGCAGAAACTCGTACAGCCAACTGGAAAAGCTTGCCCTCTCCCTCATCCATGCATCCAGGAAGCCAGACCGTACTTCCAATGCCATCCTATAGTTGTGATCACCTCATTCCCGCTCAAGAAATTTTGCACAAACCAGAGCTGTCAGGCCGACTCATGCAATGGACAGTAGAACTCAGCGAGTCGACGTATCATACCAATCCCGCACACCGCCGTCAAGTCCCAAGCACTAGCAATTTCATTGCCGACTTCACACCAAGCGAAACCGCCCAGGCCGAAAAGAATTACTATGCATGAACGGCGCACCACCTTCAAAGTGGACCCTCCTAGTAGACGGATCGAGTAATGTCAACGACGGACTCGGAATAGTGCTGATCCACACCAGAGGGAGACATCATTCAGCGAGCAGTCCGTTGTGGGTTCAAGTGCACGAATAATGAGGCCGAATACGAAGCCCTCTTAGCTGGACTCACCTTGGCCAGAGAAATCGGCGCCAAGAGACTAGCAGTGAAGTCAGACTCCCAACTCGTGGTCAATCAACTACAAGGTACGTACCAAGCACGTGACTCTAAATGACATCCTATCTAAGCATGTCAAAGAGTTGCAGGCCGAATTCGAAGAGTTCTCGATAGTACAGATCCCCAGAGCTGAGAACAACCTAGCCGACGCCCTCGCCAACCTTGGTTCAGCCCTCCCATGTTCCTCTGAGTCATCCATCCCCCTCCTATTCATGCAGTGGCCAGCTAACTGGAAAGAACCACCACCGACAAGTCTGCTAGAGAAGCCATGGGCATTGAGCAAACCGACTGTTGGATGAATCCGATAGTGAAGTACCTGGAAGACGATAGCTCCCAGCTGACAAGAACGAAGCACGCCGATTGAAAGCAAAGGCCGCCAGATTCACCCTACATGACGTCAACTCCTCAGAAAGTCGTTCTCGGGTCCCTACCTCAAATGCATAAGCCCAGAAGAGCCCAAAATGTCCTATCCGAACTCCATGAAGGCGAATGCGGTAACCACGCAGGGGACGCAGTCTTGCTCATAGGGTGATCCACCGCGGTTACTACTGGCCGACAATCCGTACCGCCTCGATCGCTTACGCAAGAGATGCGACAACTGCCAAAGGTTTGCCCACGTCTCACACCTCCCCCAGAACGACTCCACTCCATTCGGACACCATGGCCATTCATGAAGTGGGGAATGGACATCGTGGGAAAGTTACCTACTGCACCGGGCAACGGGTCTTCATGTTGCAGTGACAGACTACTTCACCAAGTGATCGAAGCCGAGGCATTGGCCCAAGTCAGAGACCGAAGTCAAAGCTTTCATCTGGAAAAACTGATCTGCCGTTTCGGAATACCAAAAGATTTGTCACCGACAATGGGTCCCAGTTCATTATTTCGGCTTCAGGGATTTCTGTGACATGTGGGGAATAAAGTTAAGCTTCTCGACACCCGAAACCCCCAGTCTAACGGCCAGCCGAGTCTCAAACAAAACAATCATGCAGACACTGAGAAGCGATTACAGAAAGCTAAGGGCGCATGGCGGACGAGCTACCCAGTCCTCTGGTCATACCGACCACCTCGATCATCAACTGGCGAAACACCGTTCTCCCCTGACATATGGTTCAGAAGCATTCATCCCAGCCGAAATATCAGTTCCATCCACCAGGCTCCGGTGGGACGAGGAATCAAATAGCAAAAACCTTTGCCAGAACCTTGACACTGTGGACGAACTACAGAACAGCAAGTATCCGCAACGCAGCCTACTAGCAACAACCGCCCGCCCTTTACAACCCGCCGAGGGATCCGCACTTTCAGGATAGGCACTGTTCCTTCGAAAGTCTTCCAAACACCAAGGATTAACTCTGGAAAACTCGGACCCACCGGGAAGGCCCTACAAGATAATCAAGAAGCGGGAAGGCGCCTACAAACTCCAGACCCCCGAGGGCAAGACATCCACAATGTTGGAATGCCGTTCACCTCAAACGCTACTACCTCTAGTGTGACTCCTTTTAATTTTGTTTTTTTCGTTTCCTTTTAAGATGAATGGGCCTATCCATTCTCCTTTAGACAGTCGGCTTCACGGCCAAACATTTAATGAAGTATTTTCAAAATTTTCATCTCCAATCGACTCCGGTCGACGAATTGCTAACACCTTCAAATCGCCTCGCCCGATGAACGTTCGTACACCTTCAAATCGCCTCCCCCGATGAACGTTCGATACCTCTTCTGTCACATCCTTCAAATCGGGCCCGCCCGATGACTTCACGTGACGTACACAACCCTCAAATCGACCTTCTTGCCGCCGATAACGCTTCGACACCTTCAATCTGCCTCGCCCGATTTGCCCGTATACCCAACATCTTGCACAACGTCGTAACACTGATCCCGAGAACTTGCTATCCTTCAAATCGGCCCCCCAATCGTGCACCGCCCGCCACTCTCAAACCCTTCAATCGGCCTGCCGATAACGACGGACACCTTCAAATCGGCCTGCCCGATAAACGTACGACCCTTCAAATCGGCCTGCCTGATAACGTACGGACACCTTCAAATCGGCCCTGCCCGATAAACGTACGACGACACCTTCAAATCGGCCTTGCCCGATGAAGTACGGACACCTTCAAACGCCCTGCCGATAACTACACACCTTCAAATCGGCCCCCGATAAACGTACGGACCCTTCAAATCGCCTGCCCGATAAACGTACGGACACCTTCAAATCGGCTGCCCCCGATAAACGTACGGACACCTTCAAATTCGGCCTGCGCGATAAACGTACGACACCTTCAAATCGCCTGCCCGATAACGTACGACACCTTCAAATCGCCTCCATAAACGTACGGACACCTTCAAATCGCCCTCCCGATAAACGTACGATAACCTTCAATCGGCCTGCCCATAAACGTACGGACACTTCAATCGGCCTGCCAGATACACGTACGACACTCAAATCGGCCGGCCCATAACACCGTAACGTAGACACCTTCAAAATCGTCCTGCCGATAAACGTCACGGAACACCTTCAACGGCCTGCCGCATAACTCGTACACCTTCAAATCGGCTGATCCATAACGTACGGCACCTTCAAACTCCACGCGATAAACGTATGGACCCACTTCAAATCAGCCTGCCTGATAAACTACGTAACACTCGGATCGCCTTAGCCAGACTTCCACAGATTACACCTTCGGAGTCACCTACTCGATCCGAGTTACACCTTCGGGTCGCCCTGTTGATCTCGGATTTACACCTTCGGATTGAGCATGCCGCCACGGATTTCAAACCTCGATCGACCCTGCTCGTCACGGATTTGCACTTCGATCGACCCTGCCGTCCGGATTTGCCTTCGATCGACCTGCTCGATCCAGATTTGCAACCTCGATTGGCCATCCGGTCCATAAAGCTACACATTCATCACCAGACTATTGAAGGGTTCTTGCACCTCAATCGACAGTCATCGACCCAATCCCCACAACGATCACAATCCTCATCTGCACTCATTCGATTTAATCTACTCTAAGCTAATACTCTTATTAGAGAGTGGGGGCTAACTGTTAGGGCCAAAAACGTCTTGGGCTTGACGGGGCACATAACGAATAAACATGTCAGGCCCAGGCCAACCTAATCCATGGGGCCCCGCTTTAAAATCACCTTGCGACCTACCCACTCTATGAGTTGGGCTTATCATAAGTTAAGCTAAACTGTGTTTCAACCCTAGCCTAAACACAGAGTATAATAGGTAAATCAGAATCTCATTCTATTCCTCTTCTACTAAGATTTCAAATCTCACTCAAACTATTAACTTGATCTGATAGGTCAAGAAATATACTCTTTCATGATAGGGATTATCTCCTAAATAGACTTAGTGTCCTACTAATTCCAACTCTTATTTAAACTATTAAACTTAATCTATAAGGTTAAGAAATCATATCTCTTTTATGGAGGGATTATCTCCCAAAAGAGGACTCATGTCCTACTAGATTCCAACCCCTTAGGTTCACTATAAAAAACGAGCTTGCCCTCTAAGGGGCAGCTCCCACAGTATCAACACTACTCAAAACATCTATTTGCTCCTAAGTTCTTGCTCCCAAGAACCCGCGCCCCCGCCTAGTTCCTGCCTCCGACAGACTCCTGGTAATTCTCTTCTCCTAATTCTTATTAAATCTTTTCAGCCGTGCTGACTTGAGCGTCGGAGTGCCTACGGCAAACACCACCTCGGTTTTTCCGAAGCTTCACGCTTGCCCTTCATGTGTGCAGGTCAATGTGTCAGGACCTCAACCCACGGATCACCACCCTATTTTCCATGACGGTAGATTTTTTGCATCTACACCTGTAAATTGGATTCTGTAAGCATTGTCTTTTGGGAAAATAGACAACATGAAATTCAGCCCGTAATCCATAATACTAATGGTATCTTGGATTATGTTCATTTAAGTGTGGGGATCTATCCAGCCATCACTTGTTACCTTATAATATTATTTAATGGGTATAGCTAACCATTTCTTGCTTCAGGAAACATCGCTCATCTTAAGGACAATAATTAATTAAAAAACATATTATGATATGCCCTTGAAAATGAACCATTTCTATTTCTACCATTAAAAAAAAAAACAAACTAAACCTTAATCACACCTGTTATATACATAAAGAGACAAACATTCTCCATAGCACATCATCTTTATATTCATTGAAATAGAAACACGCGGACTAACCAAAATGAAAATTCAATTTGCTGATCAGGAAAGACTCATTTTTCTTTAATTTGCCTTTTAATTTAGGGTTTGAATTTGATAAATTATTATATTATATTATATTGATGATATTAAAATTGCACATGGTTCAGTTGTACTTGTGTGACTTTTTTTTTTTTTTTTTTAAGTCATACAGTGGTTCCAATTTTCTCATTTTTTTTTTTTTTTGTCTTAATTTTTTTTTTATGTTATTTTCAAAAACCAGGGGTACTTAACGTGAAGTAGAAAAGAGAAAGAAGTCCATGATTACGAGGCAAGGTATGAATACTTTTATTAATTTTTGCTGGAGATGCGATATTAACAAAACTTGAAGCCATCCAATGACTATTATTGAAAATGCCTGCTCAAATTATTGTTTAATTTACATTTGGACCACTTCAAACATTTCCTTAAAGCGACAGCTCCTAATCCTAGAAACCTTATAAAATATGATAAGATAAGATATGGTTATAAACAATAATATGAATTTTGGCTTTAAAAAAAGCAGTACTGGACATGAACAGTTGTGCTTTTGCAGGATCATTGCAACATTTTATTTATGTGTGTTTTCATATGATATTCATAAGAAATTAAGTCAATCCTCATAATTAAGTGCAGTTTTGCAGAATAACCATAGAAATTCAGACACTTTGAACTCTCCTAATAAAAAAATATCCGTGGGTTCATTGTCATAGAAAGACAATAATTTGGGTGCGTTTGGTTTATTATTTGGGTATGATTTTGGGGATAGTATTGGAATAGTTGGATAGGAGATATTACGAGATAAAATTTAAAAATTTATAAAAACGCCCCAGGTTTGTAATTTAATAAAACACCCAATATTAAAATATTATAAATAACAAAATCATCCCATCACCAACAATGCCAGATTCCAGCCACCAACCCCCTGAATCTGGCCAGAAAATTGGATAACCGCACCTACGGTGGATCTGACGGGTGCTTCAATCTGATATGGCCTTTTCCGCCATATCCACCCATAGATCTGCCAAAAGGCCAATCTAGGCTGGATGTGGCCTTCGATAGCCGGTAAAAATGCCATCTTGTGGCCGTCACGACCGGCCAAAGATACTACGGTTGTGTTGTCCTGTCAACGCGCCCATTTTCCCTTTTGCGTCACTGACGGCAGATTGACCTGTTTTTCCCACGGCTAGATCCACCACGGATTGGCTGGAAAATGCCAGATATGGCATTACGGCCATTTTCGTGGTGGATAGTATTTTTTGATAGATTCCGGCTATACCACGCGGTGGTTGCCAGAATCTGCAAGTATTGGGGTGGGGATGTTTTGTGTAGTTTTGTAAACTTTTTTCTCTGGGGGTATTAATGAACAGTATAAACTTATGGTGTCTAAAAGTAATTCAAAAAATCAACTAATATTTTGGAAATAATGTGCCAAACAACATTGAAGACATAGGATTGAGAATAGGTAAAATAATAAACTCAAAGCCCCTTTTAATAGTCACTGAATAAAGGAATAATATAGATTCTCACTATATAATTTATTTGATTACCCGTTTCCATTTTGTTAGGACTTACACTTAAGTAGTTAATTTTCTAACATTAGATGTGAATTAAGCCAAACATATAATCTTGATTTTAATTGTAACAACAATCAATCAGTAAAATAAATAATATTTGTAAAAGTAAATATGAGCTTTCTCAATCTAAATTCACAAATCACAATCGTCAATAAGTCACAGTGTTAAAGGGGTAATTTATTAAATAAAGTTGGCGAAAAAAACCCCGAAGGTTACGCTTTCATTTACAATATTAGTGTATGAGGACTTAATTAATTATTAATTAATATTTTACTAATAATCTAACGTTAGGCGTTAATCTGATTATGCTGATAAAATTTTTTACCATCTAAATATCGGCTAATGATTCTTTTCCCATCAAAAAGCTTCAAACTACATTTACTCTCCACAATTCATTTCGTAGTCAATTTCAGAATAAAGAGGGTAGATAGTCAAAAGTCTGTTATAAGTAGCAGGACGTCAATTAACATTATTTCCTTTTGGGCTTTTTGTCGAATAGTGGAGTGCCAACTCACAAACGTGTGATTTCCCAATGCCGTAAATGATTCAAAAGCCCAAAAAACAACACGAACAACTTCGAAAACAATCCTAGTCAACCTCCA